GGCGGGAGGCGCGTGCCTGAGGAGGCGGCCGCGCTAACGGCCGCGCTAACGGCCGCGCCGCCTCACCTGAGAAGAGCGGCATGGCGGCGGGGCGGGCGGGCGATGGCGGCTCCTCGGCGGCGGCGCCCCCGCCCTCGGGCTCTCATTCAAACCGGCCCCGGAGGATGACGCTGCAAGCGCGGCCCGCTCGCCGGAAAGGGCGGGCGCTGCGCGCGCAGCGCCGGAAGGGCGGGGAGGCGCCTCGCGCCCGCCCCGCCCCGCGCAACGGCCGTAACGGCCGCGGGAGCCGTAACGGCCGCGCCGGTTTGGGGGCTCTGTGGTTCCTTCCGCTCCCCCGGCGAGGCCCCGGCCGCTCGTGACGCAGGAGGAAAAGCGGCACCCGAGGCCGCCGAGAGCAGCGTGTGGGCAGCGCGGCCACAGACACCAGCGGTTCCTGGGCTGGGCGCGGGAACGCGTGGCTGAGCATGGCCCTTCTCTCCGCACAAGTATGCTCGCTGCTGCATCGCTGGCCTAAAACTAGCAGTTGCCTAGGTAGCCGATCTGATTAAACTTACTTTGTGCAAACAGAGCCCAGAGCCAACAGCAGCGCGGCTGTTGGAAGTCTCAAAAGGGCCGGTTTCACAACGTTGGAAGCAGTGGTTGGCACAACAGACTGGGAACGTGAATTTAAAGGGTGAAGTGTCAAAAAGCTGAGATGTTATTTAAAGGCATTCTGTTGGTTTATTGGAAAGCCACGAGTACACAAACATGGAAAAAAAATGCTCTGGATGAAACAGTATTTTGATTGTAGGAAAATGCAAAAGAAGGGATAAAATTGTCAACAGAAAATGTTATTGGGATGGGAAAGGGGAAAGGCAAGTCTAATAGCAGCAGGTCGTAAACACAGAAGGGAAATTTATTAATTTAGACTGAAGCTGAATCAAATACGTTCTCCCCTGTATAATCTGTGGAGAGTCGGGGCCCGTCTCAGGCTGTTACAGAGCACTTGGCTCCGGACTCCGGAGGCACTAGAGGGTGCTGCGCTGGAGGAGAAAAATGGGGAGTTTCTCTCCGTAGGAAAAGGCTTGGCAACCTCCCCAAGATGGAGAACCACTGCTTCTCTCTTTCCTTGGAGCTCATTTGGGTTGTTTTCTCCCATAACATCTTTTGCCATATGTTGAGGGTCAATATTCAGATGCTTGTTTCCTTGCCCCTTGCACAAACTGCCGTATAGAAGCAGTGCGGCATGGGGTATAAATAGGAATTTATGTCATAGTAAGAACAACATGAAAAATACAAGGTAAACAAGGTCTCATTTCTAATATTACATGCTATACGAAGTGGTGTGGCAGGCTGACGAATAAAGAGGCAAACCAAGAACTGTTCCAAGAAGCACACCCAGCATTTCCCACTCCACTGCTGTATGTGCCCTTTTGGGGGTTTTGGATCACTAAAAACGTGCTTTTGAGGGAAGGAGAAGAAAAAAGAAGCAAAACCATAGCATAACCATTCCTATCTACACTCCTGTCTAGATAGCTTTGATATTGTTCTCATTAACATGAATACAAAACTCTCTTTTTACCAAAGAAAAGAAAGAAGAGAGGTGCAAAATCTAAGAATCGGGCCAATCTCTAAGATTTATTCGAATAATACCAAACTTATTCAGGCCAAATAATTATTTCCATTCAGAAACAGTAAATGTTTCTGCTGATGTATTCCCCTCGCCTAGACTACCTTGGCCTCCTCTCTATCTTCCTATTCTCCTTTACACGCTGAAGTACAACACAAGAAAGTAGTTGGGACCGCAGAAACACATCTGTAATTCTCTTAGACTGGAGTCCCTCTGCCCTTTCTTTCCAGTATCTTTTAAGGCCGCGTGGCACCAGAAAGGCAGCAGTCCTACAGCAACGCCCTGCCCTAGCGAGCACTTGTAAACTGATGAAAGGAAATGGAAAACAAGCGTAGGAAAAAGGAATGTCAACACAAGGAAAGCAGCCAAGGAAAAAGGGAGCCAGTATCCCTCATGGTTCCACAAAAATTAGGAGTTTGTAAGATGAGTTTTATGATCATTCTCCTAACTCCTACAGTAATCGGAAATGGAAACAAGGTAGAAACAAATTGACCAAAAATGGGCACTGTTAGGCAGAAAAAATTTGATTTCTTGGTTTCTCCATCACTTCACCAAAATGAAAGAAATCAGGCTGGTTTATGGCAGCTCTTCCTAGCTCACAGACCCATCTCCTGGCCCTGTATTAGCTGTGGGTAGGCAAAATAAGCGTGTAGGAGATTAATCACAAGGGTCACGGTGAGGCAGAGGGAGATAAGAACGTGAAGAGGCGGAGCTGTAGTGAACACAGCAGGGAAAGTGTCTTCTTTCCACATGGCCAGTCTGATGGTTTGCTAAAGTTTTAAGAAAAATCTGTTTTATTTTACCGCAAAAATCTGCCTGCACAGTTGAGATTGCAGGAATTACCTTTTAAAACATTTGAAAAAAAAAGTGTAGCTACTCCTATAGATAGACATCTTGCTTACAGTAAACAATGCTCACATCTGTTTATCAGAACACAAACTGTAATTTTCATGTCTAGACTTTATTATTATAGTATTGCAGTTGCAACTTACCCCACACAAAGTCAATATACTTTTATACTTCATTACATCTACTTTTTTTTCCCCAAGCATTTAAAAACAAATGCAGAATTTCAGCATCATACTCTCATTTCCATAGCTTCTTTCGCAGTCTGTGAAGCAAATTCTTTTTTTTTTTCCCCCATAGTTCTTCCCTCTTCCGAATAGTCACTGTCTATTCCTAACACTCTTCTTCATGTTTTTTTTTCCAATCACAAAACCTGAAATAACGAGATAAGGCTCTGTTTGTTGGTTAAGAACTGAATCAGTAGGAGTTCTGGGGGCTGCTCATGTACCCAGTAACACGTGATGCAAAGTGGAAATGTGGCCTTGCACCCGAGCCTCTTGCAACATCTGGACAATACAGGGAAGTAAAAACGGCAGTCAGGAGAAAACACCATGCCAGTCATTTTCAAAAGGGTCCTTCCATAAATTACTTTATTTCTCATTAAATGAGCACAGAGTCATTACCATATTAATAACAGATATGTTTATTATTACATATCCATCAGTGCGGCTTTCAATACCACTTGAAACATGCAAGTCGTCCTAAGGACGAATCAGTTTTCCAGTGCTTCTTATTTAATACACAACTGCAAAGCCATTATAAATTACTGAGGAGGTATCTGGTTAAGAAATAAAATAAAATAAAACCATACTGCCCATACCATGAATGTATTCCCGCTACAAAGCAAGAGTCTGACAGCGTTTCCTGAAAATTCCTGAATTACCTGGAGTTTGGTGTTAGGTGGTTTTGTTTGCATTGCCTACACATCTCTCGCCTTATGAACTGGACCAGTCTTTCTTTGTAAGAGGAATTCTCATTCAGAGATAGTATTTAATTTAGAAAATGTATCTAGCATCTACAATACTTCAACCAATTAAATTCCATAAAACCCACTGATATGCAATCGTTTTTTAGAGGTTTCCTTTGTTTAGTTTTAGAATTCTACATTTATTGACATGGCAATAATACAGTTATCTCAAGGCACTAAAATGACAATGTAAAAACCCAGTAAAGTGTTCTAGAATAATTTACATTTCAAACAGTGCATACATTTCTTAAATGTTTGTTAACTTAATGTATGTTACCACTTAAAACTGTAAGGCAATACATTATACAGTTACAGAAATGATGTACCCCAAAATATGCTTCCAAACTCGGTTCTTTTTACTGTTAGTTTCTAATGCCTCTAAGAATAAAATAATTCAGTATGGCTTGGCAAAAATGCATAGATTAAATGCAATTACTTATTGTCCCCCCTTTACAAACTCGCTGAATCAGTGTTTCGTAAAGCATAACACAAAATATTTAACACTTTGATCCATTCCATAGTGGGTGATTAGCATTAAGGCTGCTAAGAACTCTGCAGTGAAGGCACTGAAGTTCAAGTGATAAGGCTTCATTTTTAAGCTAGTTCTGCAGTCTTCAAGAACAAAACTTTGGGTCTTGAAAGCAATTGCAGTCCTTCTCGTTGAGAAACCTTCCTCCTCTATGCGGTTTCGTATGGTCATTTGGACATAAATATCCCTTTCACAGGGTGAACAGTCATTGTCTTTCATTGATCCGAAGAGAGTTGGCTGCATTTCATCATGATTGACAGGCTTTTTGTGTGTGTGTTTTTTTCTTGTGTTTATTTTTTTTAATCCAAAAAGGCAGCACCTTTTCATACACCTAGCTAAGCTGTATCTGCTTTAACTTGCATTACACAGTAATTATGAATCTAATCTACCTTTAGGCAAACCCGCAATTAAACACCCTCAGCGTGCTTCTGTGCCAAAGCAAGGAGGAGACAGTAAGAGCAATCTGAACCCTGAAGCCTGTGAGAGTTACGTTGGAAGGAACAGCAGCCCGTCCGCACTGCGCTGTGTGGTTAAAGAAGCCCTGGTTTTCCGACCGCATCCCGTGAGGTTCCGCTGAGCGCCGTGCAGGTGGTTAGCTGCAACAAAGGGGAACACAGAGAATTCATGGAAAATGAATGGAAAGATCAGCTCCGTACGGCTAGCGCACGCCTGCTAAAACTTGGGGGAAGCTGAACGTGTGTATTCCATAAGGATCATCCCAGCACCTCTTCCTCTGAATGCTGAGGTAGAGAGGGTACGGAAAGCACGCAGGGCCCTTGAGCTGAGGGCTGGTGGTGCAACAACAACTCACTGCTGCCTGTAAGGAAAAGGTCCCCCTGATCCTCCCCTGCTCTTCCTTCTGTCCTGCCCTTGCCTCCCGTGAGGGTGCTCCTATTAGCTCTCCCAAGGGCGCTCCCATGAGTTCTCCTCAGCCTCAGCAACACTGCGCTCCTCCACGGGCTGCTTCCATCCTCAGGAGCAGGGGCTCACGGAGCCACCGCCTCTGGAGCGGGGCCACCGCCTGCCCAGGAGCTGGGAGAGCCCTGCAGGAGGCAGGAGAAAAGCCTCCCCCTCACAGGGGCAGCAGGCGACCAGCTCAGATGGGCTGCTGCGCCGTCACCCGTTACATGTTT